GGCTGAGGCTCCACACCTGGGTTTGACTTCCCCTCCTGGCCTCGGTTTCCTCACAAGGCACTGGGGACTGCCACTGGCCCAACCAGCTATGGGTCAGAGGGCCCCAGGGAAAACAAAGGGAGGAAAAAAAACAACACAAGGACTAGCTACTGCCTTGGGATCCTTCCCCACTGGATGAAGCCTGAGCTCTGCCAGGCCTCAGTCTTCCACACCGAGAAAAGGGTGCATCTGTCGCCTGTAGCCACCCGCAGCTGAGAGTTACGTGGCTCCCCGCCCAGCCCAGGGTGCTGACTGGCCACCATGCAGCCAATCAGAACTGAATAATAAATACCCCCCCAAAGTGACCCACGAATTAAAATTTCAGTGTCCCCGTTGGCTCCTCTTTCCTTCATTAGGCATGCGGATCCCAGGGCTTCGCTCTTCCAGTCATCGGCTTCTGCCCCCCCCTTCTCCCCCAGGCTCCCGTCTCCACAGCGATGGCTGGCGGTAAACAGAGCCCCGAGCCCAGTCGATAAGTGCCAGGCCTGGTATGCTCTAAAGGCCCCACCGGGGGTGGCCCTCCGAGAATGCCCCGTGCCTGGAGCCTTAGGGGCCTGGGCAGCAGCAGGGCCCAGCCTGGACTCCCCGACCTCTCCCAAGACCAACTCTGCCAATAGGAAGTGATCGGCTGGTCCTAGGAGGCCCCCCCCAGTGTGGGAGCGGCACACTCAGGGTTACGCCCTGGCCTTGTTGCAGGGGGGCGCTGACATGGAATCCCGGATGCCCTCTCCGGCCAGGCTTGCTCCAGGAGGCAGCTGGCAGGGAGCAGGGAGCAAACCAAGCCCGCCACCCATGGGTGAGCCAGGTGGGCACACCCGGTGGAGGGGCACCAACACCTCTCTCACTTCCGCTGCCTGGCTAGGGGGAGAGAGGAGTTGCCTACCTCCCCCTGCCACCCTGCCAATTGCTAGCTGCACTCCCCAAACATTTAGTGGGCACCCACTGGGTGCCCAAGCCTGGTTGGACAGCAGTCTCTTGCTGCGGTCCACTGGACTTCCTCGCCAGCCAGCCAGCCAGCCAGCACGGGCAGTGCTTCCCAGGACCTGCAAAGGCCTGGGCCCGGGGGTGCACTGGCCCTAGCGCTCAGCTCAGGCCCCTGCCCGGTTCCCAGGCCAGGAGCTGGGGGAGGGGGCCGGTTCCTAGGCCAGGGAGGGAGGGAGAGCGAGGGAGGGGCCGGATCCCACCAGCTCACCCCCTCCTCTGCTCGGGCTCTGGGTTCGCACGTGGTGGTGGCGTCAAGGGGAAGAAGGGGGGTCTGGGCCAGAGGAGACGGGGTCACGCGCTTTGGGGGCGCTGGCAGGGGAGAGAGTGCTCTCTGTCC